TCAACCTGAATTCCAAACAGTCTGGTGTTCAACCTATTTATGGGTTGCACGTTTCGTCACAATATTGTTTTGAACGTTCGTTTTAGGACTGATGGCCAACTGAACATTCTACTCAATGCATCCTCAATGGGCGCTGATGAAGATTTGGTCTAAAGTGCAATACTAAGGCTTGAAAACACAATGACATTTCTAAAGGCGGCAAATTATTACTAGGAAAACATTTGGTCATCATTTTGATGTCGCCAGATTGACTTTAGTTGCAGTATAACGTTAGCTAGCTAGCTAAAATTGAGGGGAGACCAGTGGATTTTAGCTAGCTAACGTTAGCATTGCTAGCTATTTTTGAGGAACTTTGCTAGCTAATGACAACATTGCCATCTGTCTAAAGTAAATTTGACGACATGATGATGATGGCAAAGTTGATTCCTACAAAATATTTGCCTACTTTAGCAATGTCCTCTCATCTTATTTCTAAGTCACTAGTGTAATCTAGGCGACATAGTCATTAGCTCCCATTCAAAGTCATTAGCCATGGTTTGATGAGAAAGTAGACATGGATGAGAAACTGACCTTTTATCATGACAAAGTTAAAGAACTGCATAATTGATATCCTGCCATAGGAGGAGTTTAGCATACACTCTGGCAGTGAAAAACTACCTGGGAGCGACCGGTGGGACAAAAAAATTGTTAGAAGAATTCCACGTTCCATTCCAAGTCATCATGTCAAAAAAAGGTACATGATCTTAGTGTGCCATCTGCCTGTGACACACATAGTCCTCTGGTCTATTCATTAGTCGCACACCCTTGCAAAACGTTTTGCACTGCAGCAAAACATTTAGCAACGGAAACATTTACTCTAAACGCTCTGCAACGTGACGTAAAAGCTGTTGAATTCTGTTTAGTTGTAGTTCATTCTTTTGAAGCAGAGCGGCAGGCCTATGAACTACATCTTCCGTTTAAGAATGAAATGGAACTCAACAGCCTTTATGTCATGTTGAATAAACCCCTAGTTTACACATACACTATGTCTCATCATCATGGTATTCATGTTGCCTTTTAACACCAGCTAAAAACATGCTTTTGGGCTAATGTGAATGTAAACAGAGGTAATTCTGCTCAAGATTAGCACAAAACTTTGTGGCTTCAAAATGACTGTAATATGCAGAGTACTCACTTGCACTTTACTCCTGCTTTTTCTCCAGCCTTCAGAAAACAGTCATAACTTATCTTCGCCTCCTCTCCTGTCATGGGTGGCACTTGGTGTTTGTCCAGCAGAAACCACAGGATCTAGATAACAGAAAGAAGATTTAGGTTAAATCATTAGTTTTGATTACTTTAATAGACTTATGCACTTTTCCCGGTGCTTGTAAAGCTTTCTATTTTAATAAATATTTGTTTGATTGTGCCAGATGTTAGTCTCACCTGTAATTCCTCATTGTCCAGAAGCTCCCGGCTCTTCCTCTGCAGAAAGAAGGCTCTGGACTCCTCTCGCAGTTTCTGTAGGAGAACTTCATCCTCTGCAGGAAGCTATATGCATCACACAGATAAAATACTTCAGAAAACATGATCCTTTCAGCCCCTCAAACAAGTTAAACAGAAGCAGGCTAATAATACAAAAGTGCATCCGTTGACACACGTCATGAATATCATAATTATTGTAGGCTATAAAGCTGTTAAATTTTTTTAAATGTTAAAATGTTTAGTTAGAATGTTTGAGATTCTGTCAGAAAATGTAATTGCTTGCCCTGTAGTAGAAGCATGGAATGTTCTTGTAGTTCTCTCTGCTGCTTCCTCCCCTCCACTCTGTGTAGTATTTAGTTAAGAGTATTGTCTCGTCTGCTTTCTTCTCCTCCTCAGTCCTCTCATCTGAACAGAAATGGATAAGTTACATGTTGACACAATAAGGCTGTGTGAATGTTCAATCATTGAAATAAGTGGGTAGATGGCTAGTGTGGCTACCGGTAGTTAGTTATCTAGCTAGATAGCTACTTCTTACTCAAAAAATAAAGAAGTAACGTTAGCTAGCTAGCTATTCATATTTCTATGAAATTTGACTAGATAGCTAGCTAAATAAACACAACAAATCTATGGATGCAGCAAACCATTCATGGAGGATGCCGATCTCCTTTTCTAAAGCTCTTTCCAGTACACTACCTTATCGTTTGACATTTTTACTTCTGTTTATTCGTAATAACATTAAAACTAGCTAACCAATGTCATGAGAACTTCTTCTTCTGTGGGGTTTATCGGCGGTTGGCATCCAACTATGAGAACTTCAATCTCCAGCGTCTCTGAAATGTCTAAACAATCGTTAGCTCGCTTGGGATTGGTCGGCTATCGACGTGACCTCTGAACTGCATCACGAATGTCACACGATTGTGACGTCATGATATGCGACTTTCTGATCACAGGCATGCCTTCTTCAGCAGGTGAATACTCCGTAAAGTGTTCTATAGCTACATTTATTTAGCCAAATTATCATCCAAAACATGTGCATGCAGATATTGGGTCTCCTGACTCCTTATCGAAATAATAAAACCGGCAAGCTGGTTGTTTGCTTATAGGCAATGTCAACTAAAGTTTCTAGCTAGCTAGTTTGAACCTCATTTCTTAAAGTATCCCTGACTTCACTTGACTGTTTTTTGTTGTTGTTCAACACAGACATGAGACAGCACATCTGACAGTGTACAGTAGTAGTATATTGTTACTAACTATGAGCTCCCTCCTGATATTAAAAACAAGAATATGTCTGAAATACGTTAGCCCACTCTTTAATCTAAGCACTGCTGGCTTTACTCCTGAATAATGTGATTAGCAAGCTATCAGTTAGAACCAGACTTTTATGCACTAAAGGAGTGAGTAGACATGCAGCTAACAACAGGAAAGAGGACAGACAGAGGGAATTCAATATCAGAGAGAGGCCCCCTTTCCCCAAGTCAGTGTTTGCTGCTGGGACAGCCAAGAGAACTGCTGAATACCAAAAGAAGAGGGTGGAGGAGGAACCAGACTTCCCCAGAAAGAACAAGAGAGTGGAACCCCCAGAACACCCTCTCACTGCCTCAGAATGGAAGAGCCTCAAACTGACTTCACCGAACCCTGATCGCTTTGACGTCCGGATGATGTCATCAATGCTGGCCGATGGCACAGACATCAACGTGGCCAAGTCCCTGCTGGCCTATGTTGCCATGGATACCGGGACGCTGTCTTATGAGCTGCTTCTGCGGTATCTCACCCTGTGTGTCGGCGGCAGCCACCACTCTGAGGTGTTTGACATGTATGACATCATGAGGAGCCGGTTCAGGACATTAGACACCGGAGCCTCCAGCCTGTTCATAAAGGGCTTCAGCAGGACAGAACGCTGGAAGGAGGCGCTGACCATCCTGGAGAACATCAAGAGGGCCATCACGCCGTCACCGCGTAACTACGGCGATACCATCGCTGGGGCGGTGCTGCATGGTGACGGTGCCACTGCCTGGGCCCTGTATGCTGAGCTGATGGAGAAGGGCCTCATTCCCAACCAGGAGACATGGCAGGCCCTGTTCCAGTGTGGCCTCTCTCATCAGGGCCACGAGGACGGGCTGCAGTCCATCCTGCTCCATATGAGGGACAACCAGATCTATCCCGAGGAGACTCTTGTTAAAGATATCAAAGCTTGGTTTGAGAGGTAAGTCCTGAATATAGGTTACTAAATAGGCCTACAATCACACAATGTTATTGGGACAAAGCATGGGCTGTGCCTATTTTAGTTTGATTATGATATCTTCCTCTCTCCTGCCAGTCTTCCAGAACAGAAGTGGATTGGAAGCTGGTCCACCGTACACCCCAGGTAAAGACATAAACATTATTTTCATCTTCTTCATTAAACCATTAGACCTAATGAATTCAGAGTTTGAATCAGCACTTCATATGCTACTTCTTCTATACTTCTTCTACTTTTATATGAAATCTAGATGGCTGGAAAATTGAAATTATTTATTAACCTCTAACTTTTGCCTTTTTATCCAGGGGAGTGTGTCGAAGCTGCCAGGCAGAGCTGGAGTCCATCCAGCTGAGTCAGGAGGAGTATGCCCAGCTCAAAGACAGGGTGATGGGGGACGTGATCCAAGGCAGAGACGTCTTCAATAAGACCACTCCAGAGGTTTGGGAACCTGTTTTTCTGTTTGTCTCCCTCTTGTCCTCCGCATTGATAGTGTCCACACACATTATGCAAATTGTCTACACTACAGGTCAGCTTTATGTAATTGGTCAGCCAATCCTTTTGAGTACAGTTGGTAGTACAAGAGCATGAAGTACAAGTATACTGAACAAAAATATAAACGCAACATGCAACAATTTCAAAGATTTTACTGAGTTACAGTTCATATAAGGAAATCAGTCAATTGAAATCAATTCATTAGGCCCTAATCTATGGATTTCACTTGACTGGGAATACAGATATGCATCTGTTGGTCACAGCTACCTTTAAAAAAAGGTAGGGGTTTGGATCAGAAAACCAGTCAGTATCTGGTGTGACCACCATTTGCCTCATGCAGCGCAACATATCTCCTTCGCATAGAGTTGATCAGGCTGTTGATTGTGGCCTGTGGAATGTTGTCCCACTCCTCTTCAATGGCAGTGTGAAGTTGCTGGATATTGACGGGAACTGGAACATGCTGTCGTACACGTCGATCCAGAGCATCCCAAACATGCTCAATGGGTGACATGTCTGGTGATTATGCAGGCCATGGAAGAATTGGGACATTTTCAGCTTCCAGTAATTGTGTACAGGTCCTTGCAACATGAGCCGTGCATTATCATGCTGAAACATGAGGTGATGGTGGCGGATGAATGGCACGACAATGGGCCTCAAATTTGTGCACAACATTTGTGCACAACATTTGAGATAAATAAGCATTTTGTACTTATGGAACATTTCTGGGATCTTTTATTTCAGCTCATGAAACATGGAACCAACACTTTATATGTTGCGATTATATTTTTGTTCAGTGTAGATAGACAGCAGAAAATAGTTGCACTGAATACAATGGCCACTAGCTGGTGCTAGTGTCGTATCAAACCAAGTCTGCGCGATGTAAATTCAACAGCAAGCACTGCAGATTTCTCCTGTATTTCTCCATATGCACACATTGAGAATTGCACAACAAATGTTGTGAAAAACCTCTGGCAAAGTTTGATTTTGGATTTAACTATTCCTTTCGTGCTGGATGTTTTGGGGCTACATCTTTTAAGTATTGGTTGAACTATTCAGCCATTAAATGCAGTGTTGCATGATTCTGTGTTGTTCAGGGCCAATCTTGCTTTACTCTTAGGATTTGCTGTAGTTTAGGGGTTTATCTCCTGAATTAAACAGGATATTTTGCTGCATGAGGGCCAGTTGTATGAGCTTAGGGGTCTACTGATTAAAATAGCAGGTCGTCCTCCAAAGGATCCATAATTAGATGAGATTATGGGGATTTCCAGTTGCAGCACATGTATCTCCCCGTCTCTCTCTCTGCATCCCCCACTGAGCCCGCTCATAGTCAGTCAGCACAGCCACACATTTCAAACATTGGTAAAGGCTGGTCAATATGTAAGTGACAAAATAGATTTAAGCCTTTACTGGCGAAGACCTATTGCACCTCATTGTAAGGGTATTTGATGATAGCTGCTAAGTGTACTGTAACTAGCTTACCTCCATTTGTCACTGTCCTATATGTGGTCATTTATGTTTCATCAATAAGAATTCTTCAGATGCATGGTAGGAAACATACAATTATTTGTTTATTTGAATCCCCATTAGATTTTGCAGAGGCAGCAGCTATTCTTCCTGGGGTCCACAAAAAACACGAAACATGACAAGTAACAAAGGACAGTCACACATGTAAAATACAACTATATACAAACAATACAACCACAACAATACAACTAAAAAAATTGTGTGTGTGTTCAGTGTTTGTTTTTGTGTGTGTGTCCCCTCCCTGCCGTTCCATGAGATGTTGTTAAAACAATTTAAAGGTAATTTTGCTGTTTGCTTGTGTAATTGGAGATGGAAGGGAGTTTCATGCGATCATGGCTCTGTATAATACTGTGCGTTGCCGTGAATTCATTTTGGACTTGTGGACTGTGAAGAGACCTCTGGTGGCATGTCTTATGGGGTATGGGTGTCTGAGCTGAATGTTATTTAATTATGCAGACAATCAGGAATTTTCATTACGGTAAAGCTGCTCATAAAAACTAGAAGAGAAGCAGTTAATCTCTCATCAAGCCTCAACCAGGAAAGACTGGCATGCATGTTGTTGATGTTAGTTCTGTATATGCAGTTAAGGGCAAGGCGTGCTGCTCTGTTTTGAGCCAGCTGCTGCTTTCTAGGTCTTTCTTTGCTGCACTTGACCATATTACCAGGCAATAATCAAGATGGGACAAGACCAGAGCCTGAACAACTAGCACAGTTGATTTGTATGTAAAAAAAAGGCAGAACATCTTTAAATAACAAACATACCCCTCCACATCTTCACAGCAACTTTTTCAATATGACTTGTCCATGGTAATGGACCATCCAATGTTATACCTAGGAGCTTCCTCAACTTGCTCAATGGTCAAACTCAATGGTCACACCCTTTATACACAACTCCAGTTGAGGTTTAGGTCTTAGAGAATGTTTTGAACCAAATATATGGAGCGATTTCAGTGCCAACAGATTGTATTTGAATTCCATAATTTGGAATTTGTATTAGGTTATTGCATACATTTTTTTATGCACAAATTGAATCATTGTATTCATAAATTGAACTTGTATTTCATGATTTGAAACAAAATTGAGTGAATATTGCATTCAGTTTTCAAATTCAATTTCAATTTAATTGAATATTCAAATGCAATATTTATATTTTCAGTTTCAATATGGTATATATTGCATTCATTGTCTGTGTATCAAGTTTATTAATTAGCATTTCAAGTTGATCAAAGTTTCAGATATTCGACTTCTCAGATGCATTCAGATTCAGTTTTCGAATTCAGATTAAAAACCAGAGACAACATCCTGGTACTCTGCCAGCCAAGAAAGGTAGAGGAGAACAGATAGAATCAAATGCTCACTGTGGTCAACAGAAGCTTCTGGTGGTTTCTGAAGCCAACGTGGCATGTTTCATTAATTTTCTTCCTATGAATTTGGCTCTAGCAATTGAACCGTTTTGGCTATAAGCTATTATGACCCCATTCCTGAAAGTTAAGACTCTCTGGAACATGAACTATGATGATCACAGGCCGTGTTAGGAGTGTCAACAATTTAGCCCACATAAGAATATAGTTGAATAGCCCTGTCATAGCCCTTCTAAGGATAGCCGTTCCACACCCTATTTAATCTTGTTCTTGTGACTGACTGGGTTCGAACCAGGGCTCCTGCATTTCACAAGACTGTGTTAGTAGAGCTGGGACGATAGACCGAAAATTATCGACACTGATATCGTTCCTTACGGTAAGTAGCCTATACCATAGAAATGTGAGGTTTGAAATTAAATACGTTTGCTAATATGGCTGATTTGTTAATGGGACAGTTGATTGCTACAACCATCAAACTAGTAGTAGTAGTTTAAAGGAGAATTAAAAACAACTGGTGCACATTGTTATAAACATATCGTTCTATTTATCGTTATCGCATCAATTCAGGCAGTTTATCGCAATATGGATTTGTACCCATATTACCCTACTCTATGTGTTAGCCCACTTAGCTAAAGCCTATAGGGATAAGATCAGGAAGTTCATGTAAAGGACGACACATTGCTTGCTTAACGAGTACCGCATCCCCCTGATTCAACTCATACTGAAACTCGAACTCAGGACCTCTGCCTTGCAAACATACGTGACCGCCCTCCTGAAGTGTTCCAACCCACCGTACTATTGAAAAGGCCTTCTTCAATTGCACAAGGGGCGACGCTTCAGGCTGATGAGTATTCAAGATCCAGCAAGATTACTCATCAAAAGAGCGTGGTTTGGTGATCCATGCTTATGTGATGAGAACCTTGCCTGAGACCTGAAGACGTGTTAGTTTGAAATGTGTTAGTTTGTATTAGTTTTAAGTCTCCGGCAAGGGTAGTCATTATAAGGTTAACATGTTTCTGACTGTGTTAAGACTGTGTTAGCCTGTTGTGCTAAAGCTTAGACATTGGTCCTGTGACTTGGATGGGTCTCTTCAAGAAGGAGGTCAAAGGGGGGTGAAGTATAACACAGGTGGTGCGGTGACCACGTTTGTGTGATGAGTAACTTGTCTGAGACCTGGAAAGTTGCATTGTCTGGCACACATGATACCTGCATTAGAAAGTGCATCAGTCAAACTAATACATGTCTTCAGGTCTCAGGCAAGGTTGCTCATCACATGCATGGATCATCAAACCACCTCTGTTGCATCTCATTAAATGGGGTGCACAGATCTTTCTGCTTCTGTTTGCCACAGAAAGTGTTGTTGTTGTGCAGTAGGCCTAATTTCGAACCCAGTCAGTTATATTGGTGCCGTGATCTCTGAGTATGAGGTCAAAGGGGGTGAAATGTAACGGAGGTTGTTCGATGAACTATGCTCTTTTGATAAGTAACCTTGCTGGAGACTTGAAGACTTGTGTTAGCTTCCTGAACTGATCCCTATGGGCTTTAGCTAAGTGGGCTAACACAGTCTTGTGACATGAAGGAGACCTGGTTCGAACCCAGTCATTCACAAGAGCAAGATTAAATAGGGAGTGGAACAGCTATCCTAAGAAGGGCTGTGACAGGGCTATTCAACTATATACAGTGAGGGAAAAAAGTATTTGATCCCCTGCTGATTTTGTACGTTTGCCTACTGACAAAGACATGATCGGTCTATAATTTTAATGGTAGGTTTATTTGAACAGTGAGAGACAGAATAACAACAAAAAAATCCAGAAAAACGCATGTCAAAAATGTTATAAATTGATTTGCATTTTAATGAGGGAAATAAGTATTTGACCCCCTCTCAATCAGAAAGATTTCTGGCTCCCAGGTGTCTTTTATACAGGTAACGAGCTGAGATTAGGAGCACACTCTTAAAGGGAGTGCTCCTAATCTCAGTTTGTTACCTGTATAAAATACACCTGTCCACAGAAGCAATCAATCATTCAGATTCCAAACTCTCCACCATGTCCAAGACCAAAGAGCTCTCCAAGGATGTCAGGGACAAGATTGTAGACCTACACAAGGCTGGAATGGGCT